AATATAGAAGTGGCCTTTTTAGTGATTTTTTTAATTAAAATGTTCGATAAATGCGTTACTATAGTTCCGGTTGGAAGCAGCAGTGATCAAGTGCCTTTCCAACAAGACTACTAGAAACCCAAGGGTCCAATCAACATCCAAGGAACTACATTCCATACCCATATAGTCACATAAACATGTTATCATGTAAGCATATAATCATTACACTAAGTCTCTATCAAACGAGACGAACCCATTGTGATACTAATCACTTCCCACGTACCCAAAGTATTCAAACCCGGTACGCTCTGATACCAAGTTGTAACGCCCTCAAAATAAACCCATAATATACATAACATTGCCATGCAATAATAAAAGGAAACGAATCATTTAAGTTATTCATCGGAGTACCTTTATTGAAAGACATAACATGTAACATCAAAATAAATGCCCTAAGGGCTTACATCTTTCCAAGCTAACACTTGGACACAAAAGAATGAGTACTAACTCATTTACAAGTTAAGCCCTTGGCTTGAATGTTTACATGTAATCTCCAATAAAATAAAATAAAAATAACTAAAGACAAGTCTTCAAAATCCGAAAGCCAAGTCCTCCCAAGCTAAGCCCTTGGAGGTAGCTTATCACCTGGACCTGAAAATGATGTTCCCATAAAGGGTGAGCCACAGCCCAGTAGAAAAATACTAAACCATATATAAGCATTGATTAAAGCTATAGCATTCAATAGATGGTTAACCAAGATAATCAATTGTAACTTAATACCGTCTCATGACACTAATGTCAATGACATGTTTCAATTCCCATTATTATCAATATGGTTCAGAACCTGGCCTAACTTACAACAGTGAACTATAAATTATATTCACATTACTTCCAAAATCAACAACACAAATGAGACTCAAGCTCATATCAAAACACTTCATACTTCCCGTTTGATACACATTTTAGTGCTGTATCAATAACATGTAAAAACACTTCAATATAATAAGCACACATAATAGTGATGCTAATGGAGTCCATCCCCTATCTCCTCCCACACAAACAATGTATGCAAACACATAACATATGCAACACATAATCAATACACATAATGTCTGTATTAATTCAGCAGTCAAAATTGATGACTTAATCAATGATTAGTTTCAGTTATCCCTAATCCACATGCAGTGTCTACAACAAACACGACTATCCTCCACCGATAGCCCAAACAGTTATTTCTAGACTTGGAAAAATAAACATACCAACAATTCAATAGGCGAGTGATTTTAATTATCCAACTACACCATTTAACCAATGAATTTTCTCAATTTCATGCATTTAACCAATTTTCCCCAATTTCCTTAAATTAATTATACAAATCAATTATTTAATACAACTAGGGTTTTTCCCAAAATCATCAAAGTATCCCCAACATATCAAGATGCCAAAACTTAGAACAAAACTTATAGAATGGAGTAGGAAATCCCTACCTCGAAGAAATAGCCCGAATGGAGAAGATGAAGATGAAGACCTAAGTTCCAAAGTGCTCCAAACCACCAAACGTTCAGATTAAATCGAAGCCCTTGACTCACACTATCTTTTTAATAAAGGACTAAGGTTAGATACTCATCCTTGGTAGATCAATTCTTAGAGAGAAGGTAGGTTTAGAGAGAGAGACTCTCAAGGGGCGGTTTCTAAAAGTTAAGAAAGGAAAAGTAGGTCAAAAAGTGATCCAGAAAGTGAAATCACGGACTGATGTAGTCGACTCTACGCTCGAGCGTAGAAAGCCCCGCTCGAGCGTAAGACACAGACTCACGCTGGAGCGTGAAGAAAGCCGCTCGAGCGTCGATTGCACACTTTCAGAAGTTTTGCAGGCGCTGGAACCCGCTCGAGCGTCAAACTCTACGCTCGAGCGGAGGAACAAAAACAAGGGATCACGCTCGAGCGTTAAAACTACCGCTCGAGCGGACTAACTGTAGGGTAAAATACTGGAAGATGGAAAATCACGCTCGAGCGTTAAAACTTCCGCTCGAGCGTAACGGCCAAAATCTGTGCATCACCTATTGGCATCTAAAAATCAACCAACCTGTAACAGACCCGCCCAACACCACCTATACTTCAAATACAAAGAGATTAAAGGACAACAACAACCAATAAATGATGACAGGATCCACGGAACCTAAGTCCGGATACAATAATCTAAAGAGAAAAGACCGGGGTCGCTATAACAAGCACTAAAAATGTATAAGTAATTCTATTTATATCACTATTTATGTCCTTAAAATCCCAAATTTTTATTTATTAAAATCTTATTCTTATCTAAAATGACCAAAAAACCCTCAAAGTCTTAACTGTAATTTCTCAATCCATCCACTATTCACCACTATGTCCACCAACCACCATTACTGCCGCCGCTACTCCCAACCCCTTTTCTGCCTTATCTCATCCTCCCCTTTCATTTCTTATGCGTCTCTAATCCCTAATTCTCTCTTTCTCTCTCTTGTGGAAGTAGTTGGGTTATAATGGAGGATACATGATAGAGCAGTGGGAAATTCTATTTCTACACACCAAATTTCCTTAATTCACACACTTAATGCATCTTTTTTATATTACATTTTTATCCTAAAATAAAATTACCAAAATATCCTCACCTTTCCAACCGAAATCCTAAGTCCTTGGTCTCCTCTTTGACCACCCTAATCATGCTCTTCACCTCCGGTAAACCTCCCCACCACCACCACCACCACCATTGCGCTATCATCCCTATTGCCTATTTACTCCGCAACCACCATTATCTCGTTACCAATTTTTATTGATGCCATTGTTGCAAGGAAAAAAAAAAGAAAGCAAAAAAAATAATTAATAGGCAATTTCTTTAATTGAACACAAAATCTGATGATGTAAATAGTAGAATGCTTCTTTGAAATGACCATAAATGTATTATTTATCATCAGAGTTGAATCATCTTTCACCCGAAAGGAAGAAGTTTCCTATCAATGATTCATGTTTGTTAAAGAGTCAAAAATACCAACTTTTCTTGTTGGCATGGATAGCTAAAAAGCCACTGCTGTTACAGGTCGAATGAATTTCAAAATCATGAATGCATGTAAACAATTGGGAATTACATTTGGGTGTATTTAAAATGGCTTTTCTAAAGCAAATTCTTGTCAACTGATGTTCTATTACCTTTAACTTCTTTCAAATGTAACCAAAGTCAATTTCTACTCTCTCAATAAACCCAATTTATCAATGTAACTCATGAATTTCTTACTAGGTGCCCACTAAACACAGAGATATATATACAAACAACTACCTATCAATTTGCATTAGATTTAAATGGGCCAACTTCATGATTAAAATTTTTAATTTTTTACTTTCCAATTGAACTATAAAAGATATAGGGTTAGAATTAGGGTTTGAATAAGGAAGGAGATGAGGACATTTTTTATATAATAAGTTATTTATTGAGTAAAACATTAGATCTCAAATTCATTAAGGGTGTGCTTTGAGGAATAATGTGTACAAAGAATATTTAGTATGTGGAAATAGAAGCTCCCTAGAGCAATTGGTTTGCGGTGGTTGCAATGGAAGGGATGGGTCTTGATGGAAAAAATAGCTAAAGTTTAATGTGGTGATATGATTTTCGCAAAAAGTAATCTTCATGAGTTTTATTTTAAAATAAAAGATCTACAATAAACATATCATTTTGTACACACAAACAAAAAATAAAAAATAAACTAGATTTTCAAAGAAAAGTGATGTTACATAGAATTTTGATATATATATATTGACAAAAATAATGTTGCAATGAATTTTTGAAAATATAAGCAATTTTGATAGGTTTTTGCTTTAAGATTCTAAAATCAAGACTTACCACATTATTCTATAGAGAAAATTGTTAAAAAGTCTAACTTAAGGAGAGTATAAAGTATTAGATCCACTGGATATTTTTTGTTAGTGAGAGATTCACCTTTTGTGAAATAGTTGGAAGTGGGGACGCTGCTGCGCAGCTCGCCCAGCAGCGTTTGCTGTGAGGCGATTAGGGCCCATTTTGATAATCCGAACCGTTCACATTTTGAAATACGTCAAGTAGAACATGCCTGCAAAAAATCAAGTTAATCGGATATCGTTTACCTATTCATCCACTCACATTTATATTCATTTTAATCATGTTAAAATACATTTGTATTTATTTTTGTAGATACAAATGTGAATGGATTAATTGGGAAACGATATCCGATTAATTTGATGTTTTGCAGGCATGTTCTACTTGACATATTCTAAAATGTGAACGGTTTGGATTATCAAAATGGGCCTCGAATTGGGCCCAAATCGCCGCACAGCAGACGATGCTGCGCAGGCTACGCAGCAACGTCCCACTTCCGAAATAGTTTGATAAGAAGTCATTTTGTTTATTTTGAAGGATATTTTGTTTCTAATTTTACCCCTTAATTTATCTATTGACTTTTTTTTTACTATCTATTCAAATTTATATCTATCTGTTTAATTGTTTCCCTTATCTGTTCAAATATTTGTCCAAATTTTATTTTCTGTTCAATTTTTTAACTATTTGTTTTTTTTTTTAACTATTTGTTCAAATATTTTCCTATTTGTTCATTTTTTTTGTTCAAATTTTTATTTTTTCTACTATTTGTTTTATTTTTCTTATCTGTTAAAATAACAAATTCATTTTTCCTATCTAAGATTTCATTCTTATCTATTACAATTTTTAACAAATAGGTTTAAACAAATTTGTTAACCTATCTATTAAAATCAAAATTCAATTTTCTTATATGTTAAACAATTCCACTCTTAAACAATTTTTCAACAGATAGGTTTAACAGATTTGGATCAATTATACTCTTAAGCAAATTTGTTAGGAATTCGTATCCATTACAGATTTGTTTCATCATCAACAACATTCATCATCATTAACAACAACAATCAACAACTATACAAAAAAAAAAAAAAAAGATGAGGGGAAATTTTTTTTAAGTGGAATGCAATTTGATTTTGTCAAAAAATGCATATTACATACATATTTTAGATGGTGGTAGTTGATATTATAAGGAATGTTTAGGTTCTATTGTTTGAAGAAAGATGCTAATGCTAGGGTCTGGAGACTAGTTTTTTTATGTCCTGATATCTTGACTTCTGTTGGACTGTAAACATTTTTGTTCTCAACTTTGTGTCAGAATTTTTTTTTTTATATTATACAGTGGTACGCGGATTAAGACCCGCAAACGGAATATTGCAGCTCCTCTGGACCCTTCAACATTTGCGGATGCAGTGGTCCAGATTTATCTGGATAATGCTGGTGATCTGGTAATTTAATGTGCTTATGATCTAGTCCTATTGCACATTGTTTCTTTGCTCGTTCTGTGTGTCCATGCATTTTCGTTTGCTCGTTGGATTTGGTCATTCTGATCTACCTAAAGAGGCACCTTCCTACATGCAGGAACTCATTGCTAAGAGCATTGAATCTTCGGACCTTAACTTCTCAAGATATGGTGACACCTTCTTTGAGGCAAGTATTTTATTTTTTGCTTTGAAATAGAAAGTGAAGTTACACAAATCTATGGGTATTTGAAAAGCAAAAATGTTAGAGGTCTTAAAAATTCTATCAAAAGTTTTACTAAATGTCTCACATGGGTGTGGGAGCCACATGGGACCCACATTGTGTGGGTCTCACACCCATGTGAGGCATTTGGTAAAACTTTTGGTAGAATAT